AGGAGGAGGAGGGGGAGGAGGAGGAGGAGGAGGAGGAGGAGGAGGAGGAGGAGGAGGAGGAGGAGGAGGAGGGGGAGGAGGGGGGGGGCAGGGGCTGTGATCTCTGGGCGCTTCCTCGGCTCCAGGTCAGGGAGCCCATCCGTGGCCGGGGCTCGCCGTGGCGAGAGCATCCCCGGCGTCCCTCGTGCAGCGCTCCCTCGGCAGGCGCGGGGGTTCAGTCGGCGTCTGGGGACGACTCGTTGGCCATCTTCGAGCACTGCTGGTGCATGTGTGTTGGGGGTACATGTGGTTTTTCGTCCAAGATCCGCCCGCAGGGGGGACACGCCCGGCCAAACGCGGGGGCGGTATCTTTGCGCAGCCTCCTGCTCCTCCAGGCACGCCCTTGCCGCGCTGCGCCAGGTGCTTGCCCGCTGGGGCATACCGCTGGACGTGCCCGGCGGCGGCGGCCTGGTGACCACCGCGCTGGAATGCCGCCTGCCGCCCTCCGCGCTGGCGGAGCGCTGGCTGCTGGGCCGTGTGGGCCTCGTGCCGCGGGTGGCTCCGCTGGACATCTCGTCCAGGAGCTCTGTCATCCGCCGCCCTCCCCCGCCCTCCGCTGCCTTCCTCCGCCATCATCCGCCCGCCTCAGCCCGCCTCAGCCCTCCTCCTCCTCCTCCTCCTCCTCCTCCTCCTCCTCCTCCTCCTCCTCCTCCTCCTCATCTCCCCAGGACGCAGGACGCAGCTCGAAGAAGAAAACAATAACACATCAACAGAAACTCTGGGGGCTCCGCGCGGATTTCTTGAGCCCGCGCCTGGGCCCTCCGGCGGCGCCTCCGGCGCCGCCCCTTGCGCGCTCCGCGCGCCAGGGAGGGGGGTCCAGCGCGAATCCAAGGAATCCGTGCTGAACGCCAAAAGTGTATGTTTATGTGGTTGCTTCTTCTGTTTCCAGTAGCGATATACGGTAAGGGCGGGCAACCTTCCCGAGGCTTCTTGCATCCTTGCCTCCCTGGTCCGTCCTCGGCCACTTCTGTTGGCCGCGCCCCGTTCGGAAAGCTCCGACATGGCCTTCCGAGGCCCCTGCATCCTGATCGCGCGCCCTCCTGATACGGGCCGGCTGTGCTTCGAACTGCCCTTTGGGAGGCCCTCTGCCGCTGGAGTCGCCTCGAGGTCCTGGCCAGGACGCTCCCCCCGGGAGAAGACCAGGATTAAGTCGGGCCTGTCTCTCTACAGGGGAAATATTCAAAAATTGTCAAAAAATAGTCAGGTGACTTGTTTTCATAGTATGTTTTGACCATGTGGGAGCATTTTTGTGTATTTCTTATTTTTCGCCGCAAATCCCCCAGTAGGGGGACACGCCCGACTTAAGACCAGGGAGGACCCGTGGCGGCGCCCTGTGGGCCCCCCCGAGGAACTGCACCTACATGGCCGACCTGAAGCACGGGCAGAAGCTGGAGCAGGTCTACAGCAGCAGATCGGACCGCTTCTCCGAGGAGCTGCAGCGCTGGCGCCTCCCGCTCGGGAGCTCGCGCTACGACTCGGAGGTGCTCCTGGGCGCGACGGTGCTGCCCCAGAGCGGCCTGCTCTGCGCGCTCGCGGAGACACGAGACCTATGTTGCATCACAGCAGCAATTCGGCCCCTGACTTTCGTCCTGGGTTCGGTTTAGTGAAGTGATGCATTTCGGGGCCCTTACGTGGGAAAAAAACATCACTTCACTAATCAGGGGCCCCTGGGGCCTCAGTGGGCGCTGAGGCCCAAAATTAGTGACGTGATGGTTTTCGGGTCTCGGAGGAGAAGACCATCACCGGCGCGCTCTCCGTCCTCGTGCAGGACCTGGCCGGCGGCACTGCTGCCACCACCTGCGACCGGCTCGAGGTCGGCTTTGGTCAGGAGAGGAAAAAACACACAGACACAATTAATCGTCGACTCCCCAGGAAAGATGGGAAAATATGGGAATTGGGGGGGAAGACAAAAACCCAGAAATTATGGGACAATTTAGGGAATCTTTTCATTTGTGTGTATTTATTTGTGTGTCCCAGCGCCCCTTCATTTGGGCTGCGCGCGTCGCTGCGTAGGGGCGTTCGAAGAAGAAGGAATTGCTTAGACATATGTGTTCGACGGTCCACGCGAATTTCTTGGAATGGCGCAGGTGGCCCCCTGGCGGCGCCCCCGGCGCCGCACCAGAGAGGAGGGCCCAGCGCTGATCTGAGAAATCCGCACGGAGCTCCGAAAGTTTGTGCTTATGCAGTTTGGTGTTCCTCTAGGTTCATGATGTTCCAACTTCCTTTAGCCATGATCACCAGAAAGAATGTCGAGCACCAAGAAAGTACCGAACCTGGAGGGTTTTCACGTGCCGGGCCCTTGGAGGCGAGACTCGCTCGACACTGCTTCGATACCTTTCTGGGTGCTCGGAATGATCCCTGGGATGTGCACTGAAGTACGGTGGGAGCAACACAGCTTCAGGTCAGCTTTGGGCTGCGCACGCCGCTGCGCAAGGGCGTGGAGCTAGGCATCTTCCCGCTCGGCCCGCGCGCCTTCGGCCTGGCCGGGGAGCGCCGGCTGTACGTCGTGGAGTTGGGCGAAGAGCTGAGCGCGCTGGAGCTGACGCTGCCGGCCGCGCTGGTGCCCGTGGACAACAAGGTTCTAGGCCTCCCAGATGGGGTTGGAGTAGATGGAGGAGGAGGAGGAGGAGGAGGAGGAGGAGGAGGAGGAGGAGGAGGAGGAGGAGATGGAGGAGGAGGAGGAGGAAGAGGCGGAGGAGGAGGGTGGAGGACCTCTCGAGTCTCCAAGAGGGGAAAAACGCCACAAGCATAAACTGTTGGCGCTCCGCGCGGATTTCTCGGCTCGGCGCCTGGGGCGCCCCGGCGGAGCCTCCGGCGCCGCCCCCGGCGCGCTCAGAGCACCGGGGAGGTGGGTCCATCGCCGATCCGAGAAATCTGCGCGGACCTCCGAGTTTTTCTGTGTGTGTCATTGTTTTTTTCCCTACCTTTCGAGTCAGCGAAAGATCACGACGGGAGGTTGCTCGTTGTGTTTTCGGCCTGTGGGGGCCCTGACCGGGCTTCGGGGCCGTCAGCACACACAACTCGGGACTTTGTCGGAGGATCGCTCCGCATCGCTGATGCCTCGGCGATGCGGCTCGATGTGGATCCCGATTTTCTCCACGCCGACGTCGCCGATGCATCGCCGATGCATCGGCGACGCGGTGCAATCCTCCGGCCCCGTCCGGGAGGCCTCGAAAGGTGGAGGCGCCTCGCTGGAACACGGATTTCGCCGCAGAGGGCGCAGTCTTGCTTTGGATTCCGGGCTCGGACACCTTCGCCTGTGTCGACGTGGTGAAGCAGGAGCCGAAGAAGAAACAATTGCACTGATAAGGTTCCTAGTCGTTGTCGCGCACGGCGGGACGCCGAGCATCAAGACGAAAGCTTGGAATTTGCGCTGCAGTTTGGCTGATCAAGCTTCAGCTGAGGATTGCGCGTGTGAGAAGGGAGTAGCTTGGAGAGGCTCGGCAAGTTTGTGACACCCACGTCACCATCGACCCGACGACCAGATAAGATCTGATCTGGATTGCATTATTTTGGAGTTGCAGTTGTAGTTGCGCTGCAATTTGGCTGCTCGAGCTTCGAATGAGGACTCCGCGTGTGAGAAGGGACGTGTTTGGCGAGGTTCAGGGAGAGTTTGAAGCCCTCGTCGCCCTCGATCCGACGGCTGAAGGACGTTTTTTTTTCAGTGCAGTTTTTGCTTGTTGTGGTGCAGATCTTTTCGCGCTGCAGTTTGGCGCTCAGAATTCCGCGTGTGAGACGGGGTTGGTTTTGCAAGGTTCAGGGAGAGTTTGAGAAGCCCACCTCGCCCTCGACCCTGCCAGAATGAGTGTTTTGGTTTGCAGTTCTGGTTGGTGCCGTATGGTTAGTGCCCCTCCCACCGGATCGGGCACCCACTGTTCTACTTGCACATGTGCCAGACCCTCCACCAGATGTGATTGAGCGTGTCTCAGACCCTCTGCGCCACCAGCTGTCCGGATCGTCTCGGGCAGCGTCCGGCCCCCTTCCATCCCACGCCTGCGCCT